GCTGTGTGGGGTCAACCCTGAGGTCCCCGTCTCTGAGGCAGGCAGGTGGGCACACTATTAGGGCTTAGGAGCTGGTTTGTTGCTATAACCAAGTCCCACAGACGGGGTGACTTAAACCACCTGTAGTTTTTCATAGCTTGGGAGGCTGGAAGTCCATGATCAAGGTGGCAGCAGGGCTGGTTTCTCCTGAGGCCCCGCTCCTTGGCATGTGGACGGTCTTCTCTGTCCTCACATGGTCATCCCTCTGAGTGCGTGTGTCCCAATGTCTTCATGTTGGACAGCAGTCAGATTGGATTGCCGCTGGCCCTTCAGTGATGATTACCTCTGTATAAAGGCCCCATCTCCAAATAAGGTCACATTCGAGGGATAAGACTCCAACATGTGGATTGAAGCATTTGCTTTTGGCATACCCCAAGTCCCTGAGGGCCTGCTGTGACGGCACTGGGTGACCTGGGCCTGCCCCACTGAAGCTGTGCTCAGGGTCCCTGGATGCGTGGCTTCCCCAGTCCCCTCCGGAGTTGGCATCAAGGGAGGGGGCTCCTGCTCTGGCCTGAGTGCTATGGGCTCTGGCCTAGTTGCCCACAGAGCCACCCCAGGCGGTGGTGAAATGCCCCCCACTGCTCATGATGCATCCTGGGGCCAGTGCTGACTTAGTGCCTCTTCCAGAGGGACCTTTTCCGTGTTCTTGGGCCTGCTGTGTGGGGTGCATGAGGCCTCAGGTGCCACGGCCCTGCCACTCACAGATTCTGGCTTCCATGGGACCCAGCCCCACTCCCACGGGAGGTCTGCTGTGATTCTCCATGCCCCACGCCCCACAGCCTGGCCCTCCTGTGCCCCAGCTTCTGCCCCAGAGGTTGTCAGAGTTTCTGCCAGTGTCTCCCGCACCCGCACTGCCATTCACATGTGTTAGGATTCACTCAAGGTGGCTGGCAAAATAGGAAGGGAAATCCAGGGAAGTTAGATTATAGGCTTAAACTTTTTGGAAAGTGGAAAAGCTTCAGCGAGACTAGCTAAAGGCAGCCAGTTCTTAATGTTAGAACTTTAAGTCGTAAGGTAAACATTAAGATAATGAAATCTCCGCCAGTTAAGTCTGTCTACCTCATGTTCCTTTGTCCCTACTCATTTGTCTGCTCACATAAACTGTGTGCTAGATGGTCCTCTCAGCACACGTACAACCACTCTGAGCCATATTAATTATCCACAAGCGTGTTGACTTAGAACCTCTGTTATTAAATCTATACTGAATAAACGTGAGGGAAACAAGGAGTCATGTTCAGTTAGCTGCAGTCGCCCTCTGGAAGCCCCTGACAAGCATCCCTAGCCTGCTTAGATCACTGTACTAGGTGTGTGAGTGTATCCATTCATCCGTCGCTGAGTCGGGTCTGCAGGACCGACCTCCACAGGTGGTGATCAGTGGCTCACACGTGCCCTGCCAGCCTGGCCTTACTTCCTCCTGGCCTTGCTGCCAGGTGGGCCTCCTGGGCCACAGGGTTGGCTCGGCCTTGCCCATGATCTGTGGGGCTCAGCTCCCACACTCTTCAGATACATAAACACGCAGTCCCCATAGCATGCTCCCAAGGACTGGCAGGAGGTCCCCAGGGACGGGGCTGCATGTTGGGCAAAGGCTTGAGTGTATCTGCACCTGCTACAAGGAGCAGGTTTGTCTGCCCAGCTGCTGCAGCTCCTCCCTTGCACAGAGGGAGCCCTGGGGAGCTGTCGAGGTGGAGTCCACTGAGAGCTCCATGTGGCCAGGTGCACCCTGTCCTAAGAGCCATTCTCTTGGCGGGTGGGCTGGCTGAGTGGACGGTGCATGCAGGTGGATGCCCAAGGACTGGCTCATGTCAAGGGCCAGGAGGCTGGGAGCCTGTCTGGGCCCCGGGTCGTTAATCAGGCTGAGCTGTGGCAGAGTATGAGGTGGGCTTGGGGCCCTGGGTCATCTAGAAACTGGCTTGCTGAGTGAGATGGTAGGCGTGTGTCCCAGGGAGGCGAGGCTGTGGGTGGCTGCTGCCCACACGGGCAGGCTCCTTCCTCCTGCCCCCACTGGGCCCTTAGCTGCTCTCCCCTCCCATTGCCAGTGCCGCCTGGTCCCCTGAGGGCTGTCCCAGGCTGTCCCCAGGACTGTGAGCCCTTTACCATCTCCCACCCAGCCTCTGAGGCTGGCTGCTCAGCAGGGTCCCACCAGGCAGCAGCAGCCATGGCCCAGCTCCCCATGGCCTCTGTTTGGGGAACCCTGGGCTTCCTGGCTGAGAATTTCATTGTGGTCTATGGCGGCTGCCGTCTCTGAGGTTACCACCCGTAAGTTTGAGCTGGATGTTTGCAGGGGGCACCTCCTGCTCTCCCCAGCTGGAGTTTTCCTTGAGTTCCTACAGTTCCTGAGCATGGCAGGGGGACCCAATGGCGCTTACCAGAGCCTCTGAGGGGACTCTTAGGAGCTGTAAATAGGGGGCTCCAGGAGCAGGTTGGGGCACTGAGCCCTCCCCTCCTCCTGCCTTGCAGAGCTCAGGCCCTGGGGCCTCCAGCAGCCCCAGCGGAGACCACAGCGAGCTCGTTGTCCGGATCGCCAGTCTGGAAGTGGAGAACCAGAGCCTGCGTGGCGGTGAGGCCCGGGCCAGTGGGTAGGGGCTGCCTCTGGCCCCTGCCATCTAACCATGCCCCCCTCGCCCCCGCAGTGGTGCAGGAGCTGCAGCAGGCTGTCTCCAAGCTGGAGGCCCGGCTGAATGTGCTGGAGAAGAGCTCACCCGCCCACCGGGTCACAGCCCCGCAGACCCAGGTGCATGCCCTCCCCAAACCTGATGCTGCAAGGGGGCCACATGGCCCTGCTGGCTTACCAATCTCCCTGTGCGCTGGCCCCAGCAACAGTGATGAGCTGGCAGCCAGGATACTGGTGTCCTCAAGTCCCCAGGAAGGTTTACAGCTAATCCCCTGGGCAGGTGGAGGCAGCTCTTGTCTTTCCCTGGGCCCTGTGTGTTGGGAGCCCCAGCTTGGGTGCACAGGGCCTGCCCTTCCTCCAGTGGAGAGAGGGTGGAGGGCCAGGAGGTAGCTCCTGGCTGGGGCGTCTCAGCCTTGCCTCTTGTCCCATCCCCTGTGGCAGCACGTGTCTCCCATGCGCCAAGTGGAGCCCCCAACCAAGAAGCCAGCCACACCAGCAGAGGATGACGAGGACGATGACATTGACCTGTTTGGCAGCGACAATGAGGAGGAGGACAAGGAGGCGGCCCAGCTGCGGGAGGAGCGGCTGCGGCAGTACGCGGAGAAGAAGGCCAAGAAGCCTGTGCTGGTGGCCAAGTCCTCCATCCTGCTGGATGTCAAGCCTGTGAGTGGGAGGGCAGGGCTTTGGGTGGGTGGGTGCTGCCCTGGCACCCGCCCAGCCTGCTCAGCTTGTGATCCTCCCCCTGCCCTTCTGGGTTCTGGGGAGACTTTAAAGCCAAATTTAGAAGTCTTGGGATAAACAGAAACTTGGAGACATGCAGGTGTGAATTTGAATTGTTTTCTGAGGGCCCTTTAAGGAAACAATTGTGCACACAGTGGTGGGGGGGGCACAGGTATTCTAGGGGTGGCTGACCCCAGCTTTTCTTCTTTCCCCACAGTGGGATGATGAGACGGACATGGCCCAGCTGGAGTCCTGTGTGCGTTCCATCCAGCTGGACGGGCTGGTCTGGGGGGCCTCCAAGCTGGTGCCTGTGGGCTACGGTATCCGGAAGCTGCAGATTCAGTGTGTGGTGGAGGATGACAAGGTGGGCACAGACTTGCTGGAGGAGGAGATCACCAAGTTTGAGGAGCACGTGAGTGGGCTGGCTAGGGAGGGAAGGGGGATGAGGAGGCTGGGGCCCCGACCCCACGGCAGTAGGAGGCGAGTCCCAGAGTGAATCCTGCCTCAGTGGGGGCTCCTAGCACCAAGTGGGCTGCAGGGAAACAGCCCTGACCATCGCCCTCTGCCTCTCCCCAGGTGCAGAGTGTCGACATCGCAGCTTTCAACAAGATCTGAAGCCTGAGTGTGTGCGTGTGTGTGCGTGAGGCCCTGCCATAATTAAAAACTGAGACCGGCCCTCTGGCTCCCGTCCTGGTCATTTCCTGCCCATACCTGGCCTGTCTCCTTTCCCGTCCCAGCCCCATCTCTGCCCTGGCAGCTCCACACGGTCCTCATAGCTGCCGACACCCTCCGAGGCCATGCGACCTTGCCCCGGCAGACCTCCGCCTGCCCCTCTGTCTCCTGGCCACTCCCTCTGGGGCCTTCCTTCTTTCCATGGCAAGCAAGGCCAGTTCAGGGGTTTAAAAAGCCAGAAACCGAATCTGTTAGCTTATTATCTGGAGAGGGATCACTGCTCCCCACCTCCCCCAGCCTTCTGTCAGCACTGTCCCCCATGCATGGAAGCAAGTATGGAAGCCTGGAACTGTCCGGACAGAGGCCCCAGCGGCAGCTGGCCGTGCTGCCATGCCCTTGGTCATGTGCTGCCCTGGTCCTCCCCTCATTCAGTCCTGGTGCTCCTGCCCCCCTCGATCCAGGGACTGTGCCCCTCCCTTGACGATCTAGGGTGGCCAGAGTGGGGCTGCCTGTGCTCTGTGGAGCTGTACCTGAGTGTCCTGGCAGCCCCATGTGGTCAGCTTGTGTGGCCATGTCGCCTCCCCTGGACCACCCTTGTCTGCACTGGGGTGAAAGAGGGTGGGGTGCGATTACTTCTAGTCAGACTGTCCTCCGGGCCCCAAGCCACAGGGAGTGGATCCCCTGGGTCCTGAGGGCCCTGACTACCCTGAGCTTAGAAGGTTTCCCGTGGGGCTTGGAGTGCAGGACCCAATAAAAGCCATCACTGAGGAACACTGGCCCTTCAGAGCCACAGAAGGCCTTTTGGTGCCAGCTGGCTGGGCATGCACCCCCTGTGTCATGCCAGCCTTTCCTGGGTGCCAGGCCCTTTCCAAACGACGTTCGTGCCCATCTGGGCTCCCTTGTCGCAGCCTGGCTGCTCAAGCTCCAGCTGGGGCAGCCTCTGGCCTCCGCTCCCCAGGCCCAGGGCACAGGCTGGCCGGCGGCCAACTGCCGTCCTCTGGGTCGCTGCGGGTGCAGCCTGGCTGGCCTGTCCTCCACCCTTTCCGCCCACTGGAAAGCTGCATCTCGTTACCCGGCCAAGGGGTGGAGCCCCGGGCCGCAGGGAGCACCTCCAGTGACCGGGACCGGACTGCGCTCCAAAGAGGCCGTTGGGCCTGGAGTGGGGTTGGGGGTCTGAGAGGAGTTGGGTGACATCCCCACTCCATCCCGGGTCCAGCTGTTGGGGTCGCTCTCATTGCGCCGAGACCATCACACCCATCCCGTCCTCTGGCGCGTCCCGTGCTGCGCCCAAACCTTACGATAAGCCCCGCCGGGAGCGCGCCATAGGCTGGGGCGCGTCACGGGGCCCAGGCCGGGGCGGGCCGGGGCGGGTCGGAGTCCAGACGTCGGGAGCGGGATGGCGGCGGAGCAGGACCCCGAGGGGCGCGCGGCGGCGCGGCCGCTGCTAACAGACCTCTACCAGGCCACCATGGCGCTGGGCTATTGGCGCGCGGGCCGGGCGCGGGACGCCGCCGAGTTCGAGCTCTTCTTCCGCCGCTGCCCGTTCGGCGGCGCCTTCGCCTTGGCCGCCGGCTTGCGCGACTGTGTGCGCTTCCTGCGCGCCTTCCGCCTGCGGGACGCCGGTAGCCGCTCACGCCCGATGGAAGCCGCCACCCCGGGAGCCCCCCACGCCCGACGGGAGCTCCCATCCCGCGAGCCCCCCACGCCCCACGGGAGCCCCCACCCCGGGAGCCCCCCACGCCCCACGGGACCCCTCACCCCGGGAGCCCCCCACGCCCGACGGGAGCTCCCATCCCGCGAGCCCCCCAAGCCCCACGGGAGCCCCCACCCCGGGAGGCCCCCCACGCCGCCGGGCGCCCCCCCCCCGGGGAGCCCCCCACGCCCGACGGGAGCTCCCATCCCGCGAGCCCCCCACGCCCCACGGGACCCCTCACCCCGGGAGGCCCCCACGCTCCACGGAACCCCTCACCCCGGGAGCCCCCCACGCCCCACGGGACCCCTCACCCCGGGAGCCCCCCACGCCCGACGGGAGCTCCCATCCCGGGAGCCCCCCACGCCCCACGGGAGCCCCCACCCCGGGAACCCCCCCACACCCGACGGGAGCCCCCACCCCAGGAACCCCCCATGCCCGATGTAGCCCCCTATGGCCTGCGGAAGTCCCCGCCTGCCCGATGGAACTCCCATGCCCACAACCAGTTTGTCCCCGCGCTCAGTGAGGGACATCTGCGCTCGCCTTCTGCTTAGGAGCCCCTAGGGATCCCCACCCCTCACCCTCCTGCCGGGGCCTGCACGTCACCTCTGCTCAGCGCAGTAACCTGGCTTCCAGACGTGCAGTTCCTGGCCTCCGTGCTGCCCCCAGACACGGACCCCGCGTTCTTCGAGCACCTTCGGGCCCTCGACTGCTCCGAGGTGACGGTGCGGGCCCTGCCCGAGGGCTCCCTCGCCTTCCCAGGCGTGAGTAGGGGTGAGCGGGCGGGGCGGGGGCCCGGGGTTAGGTCCGGTGCTGACTTCGCTCCCCGCAGGTGCCGCTGCTGCAGGTGTCCGGGCCGCTCCTGGTGGTGCAGCTGCTGGAGACGCCGCTGCTCTGCCTGGTCAGCTACGCCAGGTGGGCTTGGGACGGCCCCCGCGGCGGGGTTCTGCGCTGAGCAGGGGCGGTGGGGCTGGCTGCACAGGGGTCCCAGGGCTGGCCTCCCGCCCCCACTGTGCAGTGTGTAAGGAGGGGCTGGGAGTTCCAGGCCCCAGGTAACTCTGCCATCTTGGGTGGTCTGGCCACCCCCACCCTATGCCCCCTGACTCTTGGCTCTCCACAGCCTGGTGGCCACCAATGCTGCGAGGCTTCGCTTGATCGCAGGGCCAGAGAAGCGGCTGCTAGAGATGGGCCTGCGGCGGGCTCAGGGCCCGGACGGGGGCCTGACGGCCTCCACCTACAGCTACCTGGGCGGTGAGGGTCTGGTGACTGGGAAGGCAAGGGCAGGGAAGGAGGAGCCCCGGCTTGGTCCGAAGTCCCCCAATCCCACCGCCTTCCTCTCCAGGCTTTGACAGTACCAGCAACGTGCTAGCGGGCCAGCTCCGAGGTGTGCCGGTGGCCGGGACCCTGGCCCACTCCTTCGTCATTTCCTTTTCAGGCAGTGAGCTGCCCCGTGACCCGGTCAGTCCCTCCTCTCAACCCTGCTGTCTCCAGGCAGCAGGCCCCAAGCAGCCCTTGCCCAGGAGAGAGGCATGCCACCCTGGGAAGGTCACCCCAGTGCTGTCCCAGGAAGCTGGCACAGCCTGCATTACCTTTGCCCTCAAACCAGGGTGGCCCTGGCTGCTCCCAGGGCCTCACTCAGCATTCTTGGCCCCCATTCTTCACCAACCCATTCCACAGATGTTGGCGCCAGCGGCTGGGGAGGGCCCTGGGGTTGACCTGGCGGCCAAAGCCCAGGTGTGGCTGGAGCGCGTGTGTGCCCACCTGGGGCTGGGGGTGCAGGAGCCACACCCAGGTGAGCGGGCAGCCTTTGTGGCCTATGCCCTGGCCTTTCCCCGGGCCTTCCAGGGCCTCCTGGACTCCTACAGCGTGCGGAGGTGAGTCCCAGCACTCTAGCAGTGGGCTCAGCAGAACCTTGGCAGTCCCTGACCCCCTTATCTGTCCCCGCAGGAGTGGTCTCCCCAACTTCCTGGCAGTCTCGCTGGCCCTGGGAGAGCTGGGCTACCGGGCAGTGGGCGTGAGGCTGGACAGCGGTGACCTGCTGCAGCAGGCCCAGGAGATCCGCCAGGTCTTCCGAACCATTGCTGCCCAGTGAGTTCTCCAGGGAGCAGGTTTGCCTGGTGGGAGACCCCCCGGGAACCAGGATTTGGGAGTGGGGCAGAGAGGGACAGTGAGGCAGTCTCCTGCAGGCCCTGGCAGGGAGGTAAGGGGTGGGGCTCCCTAGGGGCTCCTAAGCAGAAGGTGAGCACAGGTGTCCCTGACTGAGGCCGTGGGGTGGGGGCACTAGGTGAATCAGCAGAGCTGAGGGCAGCCCCCACCCTTTCTCCACCCACATGCAGGTTCCAGGTGCCCTGGCTGGAATCAGTCTCCATCGCGGTCAGCAACAACATTGATGAGGAGGCGCTGGCACAACTGGCCCAGGAGGTGGAGTGGGCAAGGGGGTAGGCAGAGGGTGGCTGGGGGGCTCCTGGGGCCCTTCCAGGTCCTGGCCGGGCTCACTGCCACCTCCTCTCCCTCAGGGCAGCGAGGTGAACGTCATTGGCATTGGCACCAGTGTGGTCACATGCCCCCAACAGCCTTCCCTGGGCTGCGTCTATAAGGTGGGGACAGTGTCCGTGGCCCAGGTCGGGCAGGTCTGAGGGATGGTGAGCGGTGGCGGATGAGGACCAGCCAGCTCAACACCCTCTCCTCACAGCTGGTGGCCATGGGGGGCCAGCCACGAATGAAGCTGACGGAGGACCCTGAGAAGCAGACGTTGCCTGGGAGCAAGGCAGCTTTCCGGCTCCTGGGCTCTGACGGTGAGCGCCTCCCATCCCCCCATCGTCCGCCTTCAAGGCACCAGGGCCCCCCTTATTCTTGACCCCACCCTCACAGGGTCTCCCCTCATGGATGTGCTGCAGTTGGCAGAAGAGCCGGTCCCACGGGCTGGGCAGGAGCTGAGGGTGTGGCCTCGAGGGGCTCAGGAACCCTGCACTGTGTGGCCAGCACAGGTGGAACCACTGCTGCGGCTCTGCCTCCAGCGGGGACAGGTGGCTGCTCTGCCCTCATCCTGCCCCAGCCCCATTGGAGCCCTCGCCGGGGGTCAGCCCTGAGCTGCTTTCCTTGCCTCTTCCCTGCAGCTGTGTGAGCCACTCCCATCCCTGGCAGAGTCTAGAGCCTTGGCCCAGCTGTCCCTGAGCCAACTCAGCCCGGCGCACAAGCGGCTGCAGAGCCCGGCACAGTACCAGGTGGGGGGATGCCCACCCTGGTGTCCTGCCCTGGGTGCCCTCACCCTCCCACCCACCTCTCCCCTCCTCTGCTCCCTGCAGGTGGCGCTGTCGGAGAGGCTGCAGGCCCTGGTGGACAGTCTGCGTGTGGGGGCGTCCCCCTGAGTCTTCCAGCGGGGCTGCCTGGAAGCAACAAGAGTCACTCACTAACCCCACAGCTTGTCCTGTGTCGTTGTTCACCTGGCCCCAGGGCCTCCCGGGCTGGGGCTGGGGCGGGGGCTGGGCTGGAGTGGGAATCTGAGCTCGAGGAGCAGGAGGGTTTGCACCCTGGGGAAAGCAGGGGTCCTGCTGGGGTGGGAGACAGCCCTGCGCTGAGGCCTGAAGGGCAGCCGGGAGTCCCCAGCTGGGGTGGGCTGTGGGGAGTCAGGTCCCACACTAGAGCTGCAAGGCCACAGGCAGGGAGGAACTTGCTGCAGAAGACACCTCCTTGCTAGAGGCAGGCTGGGGGCGGGACAGAGTCGGGGGGGTGCCAGGTAAGAGGGTCCAGCCGTGGCCCTGGGCACCCACACCTGCCTAGGCACTGCCCCCAGGCTCAGGGTCAGCAAGGACATTTCAAACTCCACAGTCCAAAAGTGAGAGCTCAGGTGTCTCCTGCCACTGCTGCTGCCAACCCCGCACCACCCTGGTATCTGTCACCAGCCAGCCAGGCCTCAGGGACACAGCTCCCGACCCAGCAGCCCAGGGAAGAGGAGGAAGCACGGGGAAGCAGCAGAAGCTGGCCCTGACTCCTGACTCAGCTGCAGACACCCAGCCCAGGTGGCGCTGTGCCTGGCTGTGTGCTGGGCTGGCCCTGACTCTGCGCCAGCAAGTTCCTGATCTCAGGGTTCCACCAGTTTTGGCAACACGGGCTTCAGAGGAACTGCTTGGGAGAGAGGTTCTAGGCTTGGCAGGAAGTGGAGGCTGGGGGCCTGGGCCTCACTTGTCCAAGCAGCCTGAGGGGGCACAGATAGGCAAGGGCGTGGGGGGAATGCTGACTGCCTGGGGTGCGTCAGGGGCACTTCCGCCTGCCCAGGCATTCCACCAGACCAGCTCATCTGGCTCCCCAGGGCTCAGGGTTGGGCAGTACCCACTGTGTGGTTGGCTGAGGGTGGAGGGCGGGGACTTGGAGCAGGGGCCCATCCAGCCAGCCCCAGGGAGTATGAGCTGGAGAGAGATACAGACTCACACACACTGGGCAGAACACAGCATGCCCCAGGTACCCACAGGGCACCCTGGCACTCCGAGGGGCCCAGCCAGGGAGTGTTCATCCATTGTTGCACTGCTGTAAAGAAATACCTGAGGCTGGGTAATTTATTTTATTATTTTTTTGAGACAGAGTCTTGATCTTGTTGCCCAGGCTGCAGTACGACAGCATGACCTCGGCTCACTACAACCTCCGCCTCCTGGGTTCAAGTGACTCTCCTGCCTCGGCATCTGGAGTAGCTGGAATTACAGGAGCCCACCACCACGCCTGGCCAATTTTTTTTTTTTTTTTTTTTTTTTGAGATGGAGTCTCGCTCTGTCACTCAGGCTGGAGTGCAGTGGCACTATCTCGGCTCACTGCAACCTCTGCCTTCCAGATTCAAGCGATTCTCCTGCCTCAGCCTCCTGAGTAGCTGGGACTACAGGTGCATGGGACCACACGCAGCTAATTTTTTGTAGTTTTAGTAGAGACAGGGTTTCACTGTGTTACCCAAGATAGTCTTGATCTCCTGCCCTCGTGATCTGCCTTCCTCAGCCTCCAAAAGTGCTGGGATTACAGATGTGAGCCACTGTGCCTGGCCTAATTTTTGTATTTTTAGTAGAGACAGGGTTTTGCCATGTTGGCCAGGCTGCTCTCAAACTCCTGACCTCATGATCCACCTGCATCTGCCTCCCAAAATGCTAGGATTCCAGGTGGGAGCCACCACGCCCAGCCAAAACTGGTAATTTATTAAAAAAAAGGTTTAATTGGCCCATGGTTCTGCAGGCTATAGAGGAAGCATGGCTGGGGAGGCCTCAGGAAACAATGTCATGGCGGAAGGGAAGCGGGCAGGTGTTACATGGCCTGAGCAGGAGGAAGGGGTGGGGTGGTGCCACACTTTAAAACAACCAGATCTTGAGAACTCTATCACCTCCCACCAGGCTCCCCCTCCGGCATTGGGGATTACATTTCAACAAGAGATTTGGGTGGGGATACCCTTCAAAACTAGCCAGGACCCAGAAGGGCCCCCCCGACAGTGGTAGGCACCTGCACAAGCTCTGGAGGGGCCATGCTCCTCTGGCATCTTTGCTGCCCCTCCACCCCTCTGGGCTACCCCAAGCCCACCCAGTCATGCCCGTTCCAGGGTGTCTGACAGAGCCAGAGGGCAGGGGGCAGGGCCAGCCCCTAGCCCCAGGCCCAATGGGGAGCTGACTGCTGGTCAGCGGCTGAATCAGGCCTCAGCTCAGGGTGGGGCCCAGACACCTGGACCCAGGTAGGACCTCCTCAGGGCTGTCCACAACTGCCCCGAGCCCCCGGCCAAGAGGGGCTGGTGGTCAGGGTTAGGCCCTTCTCCCCCTTTCTTTGTGATTCTGCCAGCTCTTGGGGATCCTGTTCCCAGGGCCCTAGTGGGAAGAGCCAGACCACGGGACTCAGGCTCCAGGCTGGCCACTCCCCTCCAGCAGCCAGGACAGGAGGGCCCCTCACAGGCCCATAGCAGGCACCTCCGTGTGGCTCCCCAGCCCCCACACGCTCGCGCACGCGCCATCACGCCTGTCCATGGTCCCGCCCGGGCCAGCTTCTAGGTCAGGCCTGGGCAGGACTTCCCAGGAGGCGCAGCAGCAGGTGCTACCGGCAAAGGCAGCTATGGCTAGGGGTGTGTGGGGCTGGGTCCAGGAGACGCCCGTGGGGGCTCTAACCCTGACAGCTGTGGCCGAAGGAATCCGGGCCAGGCAGGGGTGGTCCCGGGAACCCCCTTCCACAGGCCCTCAGCCTGAGCCCTGGGAGCTCAAACCTGAAGCTGAGCCACAGACCCAGGCACTCGCCACCCATTCTGAGACTGAGCCTGGGTGTGGGGCCACTGTCCCTGAAGCTGGCAGCGAGCCCCGCTCCCCTGAGGGGCCCCACCAGGTGAGGGGTGAGGGAAGGGATGCTGTGTGGACCGCCGGGGCTCCTGTGAAGGCTAGGTGGAATGGGACGTGCTGGGCCTGGCGGAGGTCAGGGCGAAACAGGCTGGTGAGCGACAGAGGAATGAGGGACTTTGTAGGAAGCCGGGTGGGGAGCTGAGGGACTGGGAGGAGAGCTAGGAGAGGCTTGGGCATTTCAGACACCCCACCCGTCCTGCCCTAGGTTCCCCAGAGTTCCTGGGAGGAGGGGGTTCTTGCTGACCTGGCATTGTACACGGCTGCCTGCCTGGAGGAGGCTGGCTTTGCAGGGACCCAGGCGACAGCGCTCACCCTGTCCTCAGCCCTGGAGGCCCGGGGGGAACGGCTGGAGGACCAGGTCAGCTTCCACCCTCTCCATGCCCTACAGACTCCTGCTGGTCCTGGCGCCAAGGTGGTGGGAGGAGCCTGGAGAGCACAGCCTGACCCTGCCACCTTCAGGCTGCTCCAGCCAGGTGGGGTTGGGTGGGGGTGAGGTGGGTACAGGGGAGAGGGAATGGACAGTGGACGAGGCCTGACTGCTGAAGTCTGCTTCTCCCCGCCAGGTGCATGCTCTGGTGCGAGGGCTGCTGGCGCAGGTGCCCAGCCTGGCGGAGGGGAGGCCCCGGAGGGCAGCCCTGAGAGTGCTGAGCGCGCTGGCCCTGGAGCATGCGCGGGACGTGGTGTGTGCGCTGCTGCCCCGCTCTCTGCCCCCAGATCGGTAACCCAACCCGCCTGGCCCTGCGGCCCCCACGCGGCTTCCTTCCCCCTTCCCGCTTGGTGGTGGAGTCTGGCCCAGACAGGGGAGCTGAAAGGGAGCAGGGCCTCCTTACTCCATCCCCGCGGTGACTCCTGCCCGTATCCATTCCTGTTCCCCTCACTTTTAGTTCTGCAAACTCCGCCCACCCTCCCGCCACAGAGTTTCTGAGGCTGGGCTCCTCTGGGAGCTGTCTTCTAGCTCCAGGTGGTCTCCCCTGGAGACCATGCTGGGGTTGGCTCCGGAGTGGGGTGAGTGAGCCTGGGGGGCTAACGTGCCTGGACACCCCTGGCTCTTTGGTTAATTTTCCCCCGAAGTTATCTTTGGTTTTATTCTCTGTAGCGATTAAAAAAATAAGAATAATGCCAGGTTTACTTCACTGTCACTGACCCAACAGGACACCCAGCGGGTCCCCACCTGGCAGCTGAGCTCGAGACAGGCTATTCTGTGGTCTGCACAATTAACACTTCATTTCTTTATTTGGGATTTGGGGGTGGGGGAGACCGGGGTGGCAGTTTCCTGCCCCTGCCCTGCTAGAGTCCTAGTGGCTGCCTCCACCCTAGCTGGGGACCCTCTACATCTCCTCGACACCCACCCTGCACCATCCCTTGTCTCACGCCAGCCCCCTCTGAACCCTCAGGGCAGCGGCCGAGCTCTGGCGCAGCCTAAGCCGTAACCAGCGTGTAAATGGGCAAGTGCTGGTACAACTGCTGTGGGCACTGAAGGGTGCTTCAGGGCCTGAGCCCCAGGCGCTGGCGGTAGGTGGCTCCAGCCATTCCCCAGGCACGGGCGCAAGGTGGTGGGGAGGAGGGCGGTGACTGGGAGTTTGCACCTTGGTCACTCCTCCGGGAATGTCCCACGCATGTCTGAGGCTTAGTCCCTGTCCTGTCTATGGCATGCCTGTCCCTCTGCTGTCCAACGCAGCTCCCGGCGCCCAGGGCCTGAGTGAGCCACTTGTTCCACAGGCCACTCGTGCTCTTGGGGAGATGCTGGCTGTTTCAGGCTGCGTGGGGGCCACGAGGGGCTTCTACTCTCATCTGCTGCTTGCACTAGTCACACAGCTGCACGAGCTGGCCCACAGCCCTCGCTCCTCTGACATGCCCAAGATTTGGGACCTGTCCCACCGAGGGCCACCACACAGCCATGCCAGGTGAGAGGCAATACCAGGGTATGTGGGATGGGCCAGCATGCTGTCACCCTCTCAGCCCCACTGCCCACCTGCTCACTGTCCCCACCGCCAGCTGCGCTGTGGAGGCCTTGAAGGCTCTGCTCACTGGGGATGGAGGCCGCATGGTGGTCACGTGCATGGAGCAGGCAGGAGGCTGGAGGAGGCTGGTGGGAGCCCACACCCACCTGGAGGGTGTCCTGCTGCTGGCGAGGTGAGGAGGGGCCGCAGGATGTCACACCAGGAGGAGACTCGTTGCTGGCCAGGTGCTGGCGCTGGGTGTGGGGACAGGGAAAAGGCAGGGGCACGAGGGTGGTGTTGGGATGGGGTCTTCTTGAGGAGTAAGGCCGCCAAGCGGAGCGAGAGCTCCCATTTCCACCTACCCCAGTGCCATGGTGGCACACGCCGACCACCACCTTCGAGGCCTCTTCGCAGACTTGCTTCCCCGGCTGCGCAGCGCCGACGACCCGCAGCGCCTCACGGCTATGGCCTTCTTCACCGGGGTGAGCCTGCTTCCCGAATGGGTGGCGAAGGGTGACCGTGGACTTGGTTCCTAAGCCGCAGCAGCTGACCCCGTGTGCCTCGCCTAGCTGTTGCAGAGCCGGCCCACCGCACGGCTCCTGCGGGAGGACGTTATCCTGGAGCGACTTCTCACCTGGCAGGGAGACCCCGAGCCCACCGTGCGCTGGTTGGGCCTGCTGGGCCTGGGCCACCTCGCGCTGAATCGCAGGAAGGTGAGACAAGGGAAGGGGTGGAGGACAGCCTGGCCCGGCTGCGGCAAGGTCTGCAAGAGGCTGACCACGAGTCCCAGCAGGTGCGGCACGTGAGCGCGCTGCTGCCGGCACTCCTGGGCGCACTGGGTGAAGGCGACGCGCGGCTCGTGGGTGCAGCTCTGGGCGCCCTGAAGAGGCTCTTGCTACGGCCCCGGGCGCCTGTGCGGCTCTTGAGCTCGGCGCTCGGGCCGCGCCTCCGTCCGCTGCTGGACGACGTGAGCAATGCCCCGCCCCTCGACCCCGCCCCCTCAGGCCCCGCCCCTCGACCCCGCCCTCTCAGGCCCCACCTTACCAGGCCCTGACCCCAGTCTATCCCCTCCACGACCCCTACCCCAAGACCCCTCCCCGGCTTTTCCCTCCCTGGCCCGC